GTTAGTTAGTTAGTTAGTTAGTTAATTGTTTATTGAACATACAATACAACAACAATTGACAAAAGGCAAACAAAATTACAAAAGGAGAAATAAAAATAAAAAGTAAATAAAACAAACATCATCACCGTTATATGCTCAAAGGAGTAGGAAGAAGTATACAACTTATCTAGTCCTACCCCTTGTTGTGTAATAATATAAATAGATCATTTTTCAATGCAAAAGAAAAGGAAGAGATCTACATCTCATCAAGTACTTATGTGTACTGTACTTATCTATTTATACAAAAATGTTGATATATATATATATATATATATATATAAATTTTACAATGAATACTTTTCAAAACTGCATTATTTTTAACGGTCAGTGTTGCGTTGAGCATACCGCTAACCAGAATGAGCTTCCTAGCAGGCATCATGTTATAGTTCTTGAAGCAGCAAACTTGTTGAGACTTCATCAACAAAGCATCTGCCGGTTGTAGCCAAGTAGTGCACTCAATTTTTTTCTCTCACTCAATTCCCCACCATTGACCAAAAACATGTCATGTATTATAATGTCCATCCCTATATCCAGGAAAAAGAGAAACTTGGCAGTCTTACTGAAACACTTCCTTCAGCAACAGCTCTGTTGATGGCCAAAGCAATGGAAACTCTTCCTTTTTGGTCCGAGTAGAGAATTCTGGCCTGGGATCCCACAACCTGCAGAAAGTGGGTGCAAACCCCACCCCCACCCCCCACCCCCACACAAAAGAAAATAATCTCACGTATGAGTGCTGATTTGTGAGCCATATATAGTCGTGTAATTCCAAACCATTTTGTGTTTTCCAGCCTCCCTGATCCAGACGATGTTGTCGTCGTACTGCTGTCTGACTCTGTCTGTCACATTGGCGCTCAAATCCTCCAGGACCGAGGCGGCGATATTGTCGGTTACGGCGAGGTCCTGGGGGTCGCAGGATGTGCACACCCAGCGAAATGGACCGAAGCCCAAGGAAAAGATGTCTCTGAGAAGCGGAGACATCAAATTATTGCTCGCAAGAGAGAAAATGGTGCTGATGTCGAGTTGACTTGGAATTGGATGACGTGGGTTGTCTCGGCAGACCACAATGATTTTGACCCTTGACTTACCCCTCTGGGCTCAGGCAAGATTCCCTTGTTTTCTTAATGTGTGAGGAGCGTGGTTCTAATCTAAAACCTGCTCCCTTGATATAAGTACCTTGGATCACTTGGGGAAGTGTAAAATATTGCCGACTTACCCCATGATGTGTTGGACGTAGGACGGGTAGCGGAATTCTGCCGCTCCTCCGCCAACCTTTTCCACCTCGGCTCCTATGAAAAGATCAAATCTGAGTTCCTGGTGTTACTTTGCACATTCACTCCTCACAAAATGTCAGGGAAAATGGGCTTTTGTGAGTCGTGGATGTTATGGCGAACGCAATCCAAATGACATGGTCTCATTCAAGTTGGTGTACCGGCTCGTTGCGCCTCCAGTAGAAATGCGTTGCCATAGTCCCAAAAGAACATGCCTGCATCTGACAACTTGTTGATAGCATTCACATGCCTCCGGAGGCTGCGGAAAAGGGAATCACGCGTTCGTTTCACTCAAGGATGCAATGGTTTTGAGTTTGAGTGACTGTACCTTTCTTTGACCAGGCAGCGGAATCGACTCGGATCAGTAGACATGAGCTGGTTGGCCTGGCGGAAGCTAAGTTGTACCGGGTAGTAGCCTCCGTTGAAGGGGTTGTGGAGGGAGGTTTGGTCCGAGCCCAAATCCACAAGGAGCTCACCTGTCCTCTGGTACTCCAGCAGCAGCCTCTCCCTAATCAAGCATACAGATATTAAAAATAATAATAATAATAATAAAGTTTCACCTTTGTGGAAAAGATGTCACTTTCACTGTAAACTTTTCGCCACGTGCTCACCATAATTCGACAATGT